CTACGGCACGAAAAGCGCAAAAACGCATAATCGCACCGGCCCGCCTGGTGCGTTCCAGCCTGGGTTTATAAGTTTAAATTTGCTTTAATTTACTTTTCTTTGTAGTGCTGTGTTGTTCATTTCTCTTTACTGGTGCTTCTAATTCTTGCCTTGACCTCTTGACTTCCATCCTCGTTCTTCTTACCCTATCCCCAAATCATGCATGCAAAGCAATATCTGAGGTCCTCTCCATCCCAAGAGCACTCTGGAAGCAAGCTATATTTCAGCCCTTTCCCTGCTCCGGGTATCCGGGACAAAAACCAGCAGCACGCTTCTCTTTTCCACCCATTACTCCCCATTCTTCTCCCTCCAAATGTATGTGATCTGGTCAACCAGTGAAGGATCTGCGCCATGTAGCCATTAAACCCACCTGTACCAAGTTCTCACCTTGCTTCCAATGAAACCTGCTGTACATCGCTCTGCCTTTCCACTTCCCACGTTCGAACTCCCATCACTTACCATGCCGTAACTTACCTGCGAAGAAGAAATTTTCGCAATTCGTGTATTTTGCTGGCCGAGCCGAGTTAAGCCGAGCTGAGCTGAGTTTTCGTAGTTGCAGTGCTGTAGTTGATGTATGGTCTAGGCTGCTATGTCTGATTTTGGGGATGGGTATGGTAGTAGTGCTGTGCCTATCTTGGATGGCGGGGTGGGGTAGGGATGAACGGGAGGAGATAGATGCTGGATTATGCTGCAGATAATCATAGCAAAAGGGAAAAGACTGGGATATTGACTGGGAAGGGGCTGAGGCCTTGCATGGCGACAAGAATTCTGGGCGAGTGCTGGATCCGTGGAGAGTTGCTTGGCAAGAAATTAGAAGCTGAGTTAGAGAGCTGGCAAGGCTGTACTTGCATTCCCAAATCGCACCAGAACAATCTGGGGCTGACTATGGCTGTAGCGTACAAGTACATCCCGGAAGTTTAGGGCACGAAGGCGTGGCGCGAAGTAAGTATTAATGAATATGAAAATGGTGAGCTTCGGCTCTCAATAAGTCATGTACGTCTTAGCCAAATTTGCATCCTCGCCCCAAATAGTGTATTTTATGCGCCCAAATTTGATTGTTAT